CACAAGAGCTGGCAGAAAAGATTCTAGAAGAGTTGAAAAAATAAAACATGATGTGGAAGAAAAAATAAAGGAATGTGTTTTACACATTTACAATGTGGTTTATAGTCTTGTTCAAAGATGTGGAAAAAGTCTAAATAACTATCACTATTGGTTGATTCAAAAGAAAAACAGTTTAAAGCTTTCAATGCAATTACTAAATGAACACATTATAAGTATTAGATTGTGGGCATGACTACAATACATTCCAAGTGAAATACAAGGTAAAGAACTCATGTACACTTTATTATTAGATATTACTTATTTATATTTTAAAACCTTTATTTTTATTTATCCATTTTATGCGTAGGATTGAACACAGCACCTCACACTTGCTAGGCGAGCACTCTACTTAGGATCTAACACAGCATCTTGCACATGCTAGGAGAGCACTCTACTGCTGAGCCACAACCGCAGCTCCATTATTAGATATTACTTAATAAAATATGTGTAAGGTTTGCTTTACATACATGAATACATATAAAATAATTTCAAAAAAAGAAAAGTATGCATTCAAAACTGCTCAGAATACTTTCCTATATAATTGGCAAAAAGGAATATCTTGCAAGTGTTTCTTGGGGTTTTTCTGTGGCAGATTTAGAAATTGAGCTTAGAAATGACACAAATCCCATCACTGATATGCACATAAATATCAATGAGGACAGCTTTATAAAACTTGCTAATCCACAGTTATGAATAGAAACAAAACAATTTTAACCCAGAAAAAAATTACAAATACAATGGATATTAATAAAGAATCAAACTCAGGACGGAATCTTTCTTAACACCCAAAGCCAGGGTTCCCTCCGTGTGCTAAGGGAGACACACGTACCTTGGCCAGTGGCTTCCCCTGGTGGCAGTTGATTCCACCAATGAAGATCATGTTGGGCATCACAGGTCTGGGATAGTCCAAAACAAAGTCAGTTCGCAGCAACCAAATGGATACTTGGCTGAAGAGATCATATGGTGTGACAGGGGATTGGAAAATTTCAGAGGCGATTTCCAAGGTGGTTTTCAAGAAATATGGGCAAAATAAACGCTCCCCCAAGTGGTTTATAAGGTTCTCTACTCTCTGCTTAAAAGTCATGACATCTGAGAACCTCATTAAAAATCTGGGAATGTAGGACAGAGGACTGGGGCACTGAGCACCTTCTTCAAGGTAATGGCAGAACACTCCCCTGGTGAAGACCACAGATGGGAGTGAAAAGTACTTGGCAATAATTAGACCACACATGTCAAAAGGATCCATAAACACTGCATCAAAAGAGCTCTCCTGTAAGTATTCTACTAACTTCTTGTCATTAAACAAAGTCCTACAATGGGTAAAATGTAGTTCAAAAAACCCATTGTTTGAATCCAATAATGCAGACAATAAACTTTCATCTGATTTTTTCATTTGAGTCTCAGCAAAAACTTTAAACTCATGTTCCAAGTCCTCCAAAGTGTAAGAAGTTGAATATGTCTTCACTGTAAAATTCAATGACTGTCCCAGTTGCCAACTCACCTCTGGCATGACAGCAACCACCTCATGCCCTCTGTGGACGAGTTTCTCCACAACTGACCGCATGGTAAACCAGTGGCTGCCATCCATGGGCACCACCAGCAGCTTGCCTGCCTGGGCAGAGCCACATGCCAGCAGTACACACACACACAGAGGAAGGGCAGCAGGCAAAAGACCAGGAGCCATGGGATAGCTGAGCCCCTGCAATCCAGCTGCTTGGACACAAAGCTCAAGGGATACAGTAGGCGGAAGTACAAGCATTTTATATACAACAGTAATCCTGCATTCATCAATTCATAAAAATGATTATACACTGTCAATGATTCACTCAGATAAGCAATGATTAATGAGTGACCGATGTCGACATACCTGATGGGTATCCTTTCCAGAGAAGAATAGCTTATCATAATGTCAGGGGAAAATCACACCTCATACAGCCATGTGAGAATAGAAACACAATATAGAGCAATGACTTTGGACTTTACAACTCAAAAAGATGAAAGGAAAGTAAATATGAATAGAGGCTGAATTGGGGTATTTTTTCCAGAAGCAAAATTTGATTGTATCTTCAGATTGCCAAAGGCTCTTTTCTCAGAAAGATACTGGCTACCCAGCTTCAAAGGAAACACTGAAGGTCCTCAGTCCTTCTCAGTGGCACGAGCTTTATTCACAAACAACACTGCCCTGGATCAACCTTTCCACACTTCCTGTTCTGTTTAACCCAGGTTTCATGATCCATTTCCAAACCTTCTTTTATTTTCTTTAGGATGCATATTAACCAAAAGTTTTAATAATTGAAGATAACACAACAGAATATTCTTTCACAAGATAATATGATAAGCTTGTGTTATATTCTCTTTTTTAATTTTATTTATTTTTTATTAGCTGTTCAAGACAATACAATGATCTTGACATATCATACATTTGATTCAAATAGGGTATGAATTGTCATTTTTCCACGTGTACAGATTGCAGGATCACATTGGTTATACATCCATGTGATACATACAGCAATCCTAGTGTCAGTTGTATTCTGCTGCCCTCCCTCTCCCCCCTCCCCTCCCATCCCTATTGTCTACCCATACTACTGTGACGCTTATCTCTCTCTTTTTTTCCCCTTCCCTTCCCCCTCACAACAGCCTATATGTATTTTGTGAACCCAAGAGGGTCTCCTTCCGTCTTCCGTGCATTTCCCCTTCTCCCACCCTTTCCCTCCCTCCTCTTTTCCTTATTTCGTGGTAATCTTCTTCTCATGCTCTTCCTTGCTACTCTGTTTTGAGTCACATCCCTTATACCTTCTGAGGCCTCTAAAATGGTACAGTAGAATTCAGAGCACCATGGACCATGCCAGGGATTACTTTCATGGTTATGTTCAGGTGTCAGTATAGAACTAACATTAAGTTTACCCTATGAGTTTGGATACATATATTTGTGTAAATGAATATATACACATACACACACACACACACACACACACAACACACGTATATATTTGCCAATATGTAGGGTTAGGTTTAGGGTTTGGGTTAGAATTACAATAGCGTTTTTCTTATTTGTTTTTTTTTAATTATATGTGACAGTAGAACATATTTTGACAATCATACATACATGGAGTATAACTTCATTCTTGTGGTTGTACATGATGTGGAGCACACTGGTCATGTATTCATATATGAACATAGGAAAGTTACTTCTGATTCATTCTACTGTCTTTTCGATTCCCATTCCCATCCCCATTCCAGAGATTTGATCCTATGTGGCTACCATCTGTGGTAGTTCACTTTCCCTTGACACCTCCAGAGCAGTAGGTCATCACCTACTCAGTGCTGGCCTCACCATTATGCTGAATGCCTCTGGCTTTCTGAATGATTTCATGTATAGCCAGAGATTCAGACCTCTGCTATGCGCCCACCACCCATGGTTCTCTCTCAGGGATCAGTGTGCTTGTGTCCCACACTCCACTGAGCACTCCTGTCGCACAGGACAGACATTCTTCATGTTCTCACCCTCCTCCCACAGGACCCACACCATGCCCTGCACAGAGAAAGAACACAAGCACAGTTAGTTGTACTGGACTCAGCTGCATTGGGTAAAGAACATTCTATGGAAGGCCTTTGATGTCCTCCCATATAAAGAAAGCAAGCGCAGGCTCCATTTTCTTCTTTTTAGTGTGGAAGCTCGATCCATGTGATGGGCTAGCCCATCCTGCCCCAATTTTAAAAAATATCTCCTATATTCTGTTGTTTTTTTTCATCACTCTATTTTTCTTAGCATATAGTACTCGGCCAGCCCATTCCACCGAGGGGAACCCCATTACCACCACCGGCGCAGCACGTGGGCAGGGAAGAACTAAATATACAGCTGAAAGGTTTGATGCTGTTGCTGCTCTGTGCCCAGAGACACACAGGTAACACAGCTGAGGTTTGAGTATCCACTATGCCTCCCAATACCTGCGTAATCCAGAGATAGAAGGCACAGCAAGAAATCCCTCCATCTCAAATACCTTAAAAAAGACTAACTTCAGATTCCTTAATGCTACTTTTTTCTCATTTCACAAGTATTATCATCTGTTTTGATTTGATGGCACTCCCTCACTATTTGATATTGCACTACTTAGTTCAAGTTTATGCATGCTTTTCTTTAATGTAATATGCTTCTTGGAAGTCTGTGTCATGTTTCACCATACACTGAAGATGAGAGAAGCTCATGAGCAGAAACACCAGCAATCTGCACATAAGCCTCTGATGCCAGGATTCAGAGAGTTGCAGACAGGTAAGCACTAAGGCAAGTGGAGACTCCACCTGGGCTACCTGTTACCAAAGTGTCACAGGAAAGAAAACAATTGAGGTGCTCCCTGGAAGGATCCTCAAGGCCTACCGCATGTTTCTTCACCCATCTTAGATACTGGACGGCTGTCACGAGCCATCCATGGGATGTGTGTGGAATATTGTGCATAGTAGCCAAATGAGGGGATAGGTCTGGCACTGGGAACTCCCTGTCAGGGACTGATCACATGATGCAGGTGAGCCTCCTCCTCTAGCTCCACCTAAGACCCTGAACAGCACCTGAGATGGGTGTGACTTGCCAAGATGGCAATCAGTCTGCTGACCACAAGACATCACAAAGAAAGACTCCATCCTGGAAACCTTATTCCTGCCTCTGATGTCCCCACTATAAAATAAAGGGAGTGGCTCAGGCTCTCTTTCCAGCACTTTTCCAGCATGAAGCTGACCCTTAAGGTCAAAAACCCTCCCCACCCCTGATGTGAAAATCATCTCTGTGTTGTGTGGTTTTTGCTGTTGCCTTCTCAGCTTAATGTTGCAGCCACCCACTTAAACCCAGTTTGCGTGGGTCGAGGACTCGAAACGGCCAAAGTGACGATGTTTATTATGAGTAAGAGGTAAAGCAGGTTCCACAGAGGGATGTGGAAGAGCTGGTCTCTCCCTAAACAGACTGCATACAGAAGGTGCTCTGGCTAGAGCTGGAATGCCCCCAAAGGCCCATGTGTTTGAGGACTGGTCCCTAGTGTGGCACCACTTGAGGTGGGGGAAACTGCAAGAGTGGGGCCTACTGGGAGGTCTTTGTGTCTTGGAGGATATGCCCTTGACAGGACAGTTGGGCCCAGCCTTCCCTGCCTTTCTTTCATGGCCCAGTGGCCACCAGGTGAACAGCTCTGTACCACCACATGCCCCCCACATAATGTGCTTCCTCACCACAGGCCCAGAAGCAACGGAGCCAACCAATCGGGACTCGGGTGTCCACATCTGACCTTTCCCACGTTGATCTTCTCAGGTTCCTGCTACCTTAATGGAAGTCTAGCAAGGAAAGTCTGGCCTGGGAGACAACTCCCCTCTGCCCTGCTTTTGCAGGCTGGAGGCCTCCACAGAGCTGGGAGTACAGGAGACTTGGCTGCAGGCCCACTGAGGTGACAGAAGCACTCTGCCTCAGGGACACCATTAGTGTGATGACCTGCCCCCCTCCTGATGAGGGAAGAAGTGGTGAAACCCACACTGTTGGGCCACCTGGGGTCCGTTTCTCTACCTTCTGGCAATATCTCCAGGACAAGATGACTCTATTTCCTAGGCTGGTGTCTGCTTGGAAGGAACTTGTCACCACTTAGAGCAAAAGGTAGAAGAGTGATGATTCCCTGAAGGCTTCTTGTCACTGACCTTCCTGATGATGATGGCCAGCTTCAGTGGCTCCTGTAACAATGACCAGGTGTCCCACTTGCTGGGAACTAAAGGGTCCCCTGTGACTCAGGACTTCTAATGTCTGTGGAAATCTGGGAACATTTCAGGACAACCACTGTGAGTTGTCACATGTGTGCAGAAGAGACTCGACACCATGTTCCGAAACAGAGTAACAAGGAAAACACACAGCTGATGCTGGACTTAGTCCTGATGTCTGCTAGTCATTCAGGACATGTGACAAGGTATCCAGGAATTTCATCAGGGACTCTCGTCATGTTTATTCCTCACTAGACCTTGGTCATGCAAACCCACTGCTTGGGTCTAAAATGGTGCCACTCCAAACCAGCTGTCCATCTCACAGTGCTGGCTCAGTGTTCTCTGCCCACTCACAGGTACCAGGGCAAACACTGCAACACTAGACACTCTCACAAAAATTGCTGCTGCCTTGCCACCCAAGCCCCTCCTAAGGGGTCTTGTTTTTTATTTTTTATGTCTTTGCTATATTCCAATTTCTAGAATTCCTCTTACCTTTCATAAAATTAAGCATCCAAATTTCTTGCATTTTTTTCCTACTGTTCCTTCATTTCAAATCTTGAGAAGCACTGAAGCTAACAATTTAATTTCATGAAGCTCTTTGTATAGGACGTGCTAACAGACAAGATGCTGTACATAGCTACAGTCCCTTCAAGGGTCAAATGTCCAAATCATCATCTAAATTACCCAGTGGCAACAACCTCTTCCCAACCGCCCTTGCCTCGCCACCTGCCCCACCACCAAAATATCTAGCAAAGTCTACAGGAGAAGGGGCCAACACACCCTGCAGGTCCTCACAACACACTGGGGTAAAATACCCTTGGCAAAACATTCACTGTTTTCATGATTTTATTTTATTTTATTTTAGTATTTATTTTTTGTTTTAGGTGGACACAATATCTTTATTTTACATTTATGTGGTGCTGAGAATAGAACCCAGTGCCTCACGCATGCTAGGCAAGGAATTGGGAAGGGGGTATATATTCCCCAAAGATAAACTTAAAATAACCCTTTTTACTCTAAACTTTTTAAATTTGGATTCATCAGGACTTAGTGCTGCGGAAAGGCATATGTGTCCAAAAAATGTACATAAGCCCAAGGTACTTTGGAAGGATATTCTAACAGGACAATGGAAAGGTCCTGACCCAGTAATTGTCTGGAGTCGGGGGTCTGTTTGTGTGTTTCCACAGGGAGAACAGCAGCCGATTTGGATGCCAGAGACATTAATGAACAAGGGCAAATTGTGGCAGCTGCAGTAAAACAGGCTCTAGATGCCAGGCCAAGAACATGATACAATTGTGAACAAACAGGACATTTTAAAAGGAATTGCCCCTTGGAGGAGGGTTTAACAAAACTAGGTATCAAAGGAGTAGAATACCAGGTATTTGCCCACGATGCCGTAGAGGGAGACATTGGGCTAATGAATGCCGTTCTCAAACCACCATAGAGGGTACTCCATTATCAAAAAACGAACAAGGACCAGGTGTTTATCCACGATATCGTGGAGAAAGGCATCGGGCTCCATTGCCAAAAAATGGACAGGGGGGCCCAATGCTCCGGGGCCCAAAACCACAAATATACGGAGCACTGGAGGAACCCAGCAACCCCATCAGGGTAGTGCCCAGGACACATTGTCCATCAGATCCCTCATCAGACAAACCAGAGGGAGCGCAGGGTTGGACATCTGCGCCTCCGCCAGAGCAGTACTAACTCCAGAGATGGGAGTTCAAATCATTCCCACAGGGGTGAAAGGACCTCTTCCCAAAGGAACAGTAGGCTTATTATTGGGACGCAGCTCTTCTACT